AACAGATAGGCAACATAGACGGTTGCTTAGACCTAGGCGTAACAATCTTGAGAGATTGCAAAACGATGCAGTTTGTTTAGCCGCTGGTTATCTTTTGTTTCGAAATTTCTGCTAAGACGCATTCGTTTGATAGCCCCGGTGGGTTTGTTCGAGCTTTGTTGTGTGTGCATCCAGATACGTTTGCATGGAGTGTGGGGACCAGAAAAACCAGGAGGGTCAGAAGAGGTTCCAGGGTTCGCATCGAGCTCAGTACGTAACCATTGTTACGGCAAGTAGCAGCACCGCTTCTGGTGCCACAACCATCGCTGATGTTACGACTGCCAGTTATACGGGTAATAGCAGCATTTAACATAGGTAAGACTAGATATCTTATGCGAAGCTGCTGGTACCCCCGCCTCCTATCTGCTCCACTCGGGTCAGCTCCCTTCGTCATCGTTGTTGCTGCTGCTGCTGTCTGTTCCGTAATTCGTAGCATTTCGTTGGGTTTTTTGATTACTTGCGCTAAGGGTTCGTTATCGTTGTCGGCACTAACAACCCGCGGCTACCCAACCCAACGCCCTTTCTCGCTACTACTGTTGGCGCCGCCGCCGTTGCTTTTGGTGCTTCTCCGCGCTAACGCTCGAATTTCGTGCCTCGTCCACCAGGTGTCGCTGGGAAAGTCACGACGGGAAGAACGCAGCGCCAACGGTGAGCGAGCAAACGATACGAACCGCAGAGAGTAAATCCAAAGTGAAACGCGGTAACGCGAACCTGGTTCAGTTAGTTCAGCCCGACTGGATCAGAGCTGCTCAAAGAAACGGATCGGTACACAAGAAGCCTATCTTATTTATGGTTTTCTTTGGTACGCCAAGTCTAACCTTTATTTATCAACTAAAACAAAATTTACACTGTTAAATTTCTTAGGTTTCGTCAGCTTCATGTGCTACTAACCTGTGTTTGAAGTGCATCTCATTAGTCGCCTATTGGATACGCATACACGATGCGAGGAGAAAAAAGGTTCGAGCCATAATTGTAACAGTGGGGTTACGACCGCTACGGGGGAGCAATGCCAAACCAAAAGAACTGATGAAAGGGAACTTTGGATTGTACATGGTAGTTTAATTACTTATTTGTGAAATGTTTGCCAAGTGGTTAAATTGAGTATTCGGCTAAAACTCGCTTAGGAACACGCTCGGATATACACCATCGTCGTTGTGAAGTGTATTAAGGTGAACCCGCATTGATCAGTGGTTCTTCTCTCTGTGGGTGCGTGTGTGCTTGTTCTTTGTTGTGTACGCGCGGAGTTTTTAAGAGAGAATGGTACTCAATACGAAACCTGCCTTATGAAAATGAGGATACATTTACCAGATTACTTAAAAGCAGACGAAAAATAGGTGAGTCGAATATAATACGAACAACCGTACTACTCAATGTTATCCGTATTGTTGTTGTCATGATAGAGGTGCTGAAAATTTGTAGGGCTACATAACAAGCATTACGCGCTGTGAAGTGGTCAGCGTGATGACACACTTTAGGTAGGAGTAACTGACAAACAAAACGCCGTGGTCTATTCTGCTACCGCCGCGGCTGAACGACCGACCGTCAGCCCTTACGTCCATCCCGTTTCGGCCCTTCATGCAGCGCGGCTCTCATTGTTTCATTTGCCTAGGGAAAACGGCCTGCGTTGTTGTTTTGCTGTTATTGAGGCCCTGCGGGGAGCGACGAACAGGCCAACAGATAAACGAAAATACAAACGAAATGGATTAATGACAGACGAGGTATCGGTGGACACACCGGTTAGAATACATAGGTATAATTTAATAATAATATATATTTACATAAAGCTATACCTCATTTGTAGATATAGACAGGTTCCGATAGAGATAGTGTACACACGTACATGCATAAGTACGTACATACACAGCGTTATTGAGGATACGGGATGACATATCAGTCTTGCTAATTGTTAACTTCATACTTTTAGTGGATCAATGAACGGGCAAAACGCTGCGGTTTCTAATACACCTCTATGCGCCTTTGCATATCAGTGGGATACCTGTACATTAAGGTACTCGAGATAAATAAAATCCCACCACAGAACACGTATACACGGATACGATTCGATTCATACTAAATTCGTCTACAGGCGTTGTTAAGTTAAATATACGCACAAACTGTATTCGACCCATTATGCTGAACATCGTACCGAAGTACATTGTCTTTGTGATTAGTGCACAGATACATTTGAATGATGGGATGATAGTTTGCGATTTGTATAGCGATTACAATGCTGTATAAGCTGATTACGTCCCTTAGCACCGGGATGACGGTCTAAGTGCATGGCCGCTATGGGAAGGTTCGTTGCTGCGTCTTCATTCATTCTAGATAGAACATTATCCTTTAGATACCGTCAATAAGACGAACACCGTTAGTCATAATGCGCCGTCGACATTTTGACACAAAAGCACGCTTGCCAGTGGCAGTTTCCTTCATGTTTATTACCCTGCTGCAGAAACAGAATAATTAACGTGTCGGTACTACAACTGAGAATTTATTTTCAGTAAAATGTAACATTTACTAATGTTGGAGGCGACTGATGTGCTTATTTCCGATACCAGCCTTCGTCGATCCGAATACAAGGAATCCATCCTCGTATTTAAAGTTAGTCTCTGATTGGAATGAAAATGATGTTGAAAGCTGTTCACCTCACTAACTTCGGACGACAATTTCTATTTCAAGTATTCCTTACAGATTTTTTTTCTATGTGACCTACTGTGGCCGTACTCAAAACATCTACGTTATGCTTAAAAGTTTCTCGATAACTTTAGGCGAACCGGTGATAATGGACCTTGTTAGGGTCATCGAAACTCGGAGCTTCTGCATTTATTTGCCGCTGTACCATAATCAACCTTCTTTTACGGAATGCTTTTGGTTTTGAAGTTTGTCTCGTATTCTCACATATATTTAAAGTCGTTGTCGCTGCGAGTGTAAACTAATTCGTTAAGCATGAAATATCTCAGGCAGTCAAGAAGTCCACTCGAGCTATTTGCTTGCCCCGCTCTCTCTCCGTCTGTTCATGCCTGTGCAGTCTCAATCAAGTGCGTTCACAGCTTTAAGGATCTCATAGATCTTCTTCTGTAGAAAAGCATTTTCTTTCACAGGGAATATCTAGAGATATTAGGTACATCACATTGATGGTCCCTTTCGCCAGGATAAGGTCCTTTGTTTTTTTTCGTTCCTGTCCTGAGCACGAACCGGCGGCGTAGGTTTTTCCGTATTTGCCTTTTGTGTGTAAGGCAGAGTTGATAGAAGTGGTAAAAAGCTTAAGGGAATGCCGGGTTAAGACGTTAAAGTACAGAAAACGACGTGTCCTTTTCGCCGCTTGCCGATGGTTGGCTTTTTTGAACCGATGCTTACCTAGGTTGATGTTTGTTTTTGGTCCCGTTTCTTTGTAACTGAGTTCGTGCTTAAATGTAGAAACGTTGCCATGGCCAGGTCGCAGACTGCAGCTGCTTTCCGCCTGATCGTAGCATTATCGTACATCAGAAACACAAAGCCAACACCAGAAGCAGTCGCCGACTGAGTGAAACACTCTGGCGGCAGACGATTTTGAGTTGAAATTATTCATTTCCAAAGTTCGAACTGTTCCGGCTTTCAGTACCTTTGTGTGCATCGCAGTGGACCACCTTTAGAACCCCAGTTCTTCATTTTTCCTCCACCGTTCGAAGACTTCGGTGTATTTCGTGATGCTGCTGCTGCTGCTGCTGCTGAGGATCAGACTAGTCGCTTCAGTCGCGATGGGCATGGAACGCTGGTACTGATCTACCATTTTCTTTCGTTCTTTGCAGTTTAACGTTTTCCTTTGCCGCGTTTTCTTTGTTGATGCAGAAAAAATATTCGTCATCGATTCTTCGCTGCTGATGATCTGCTGTAACAACAAAAGCATCGATTTGACGACGTAAAAAAGTCCATCGATGATTCAAATGTATCCCGGTCGCATGTCGGCTAACGAAGATCGCTTTGGCATCCGAAAATCGTCGCAGCTACCGGCGACAAAATGACGACGCAGAGAAGAATTTCTATGAGATGAGCGTTAGTCGTTCAATCTTTCAGGCCATCTGTCTGCCTACAAGGATCATTTCATCCGTTAGCGAAATATTATTATACATTTCATATATTTTATGTTTCTATCTGATAAATAGAACATGCATATATATAGATATCAGAAATTGGAAATATCATTTTGCGCTTTAGAGATGTTGGCGACTGGGGAACTCAATTATGAAATCGGAAGTCGTTACTGCTGTTGTTGTGGTTCTCGCCAAAAGGAATAGCGAGTAACACGATGTAATTATTGAGGTTACACGGCGAATTCATAAAGCAGAAAAACTGGACCGCCATACTCAGAACGGGACCAAGTGCGCTCACTTATCTACTACCCGAAGGTATTACGGTCGTGTATTATATTCGGCATCAATAGTATACTTCTAGCTATTATAGAAAAGATAACCCAGTATTACTATCGTTTTTCTTTTCAGGCACAACAGTTTTTTTTTCTTAAAAGCGTCGATTGTTTATGTATATACAAGAGCGGTGCTATGCAATTTTTAATTGAATACAATTACATTCTACTACTTTAGTGTTTATTTTATGTTTCAGTTTTTTTTTTATCAATGAACTGTTCATGACTACACTAGCACACAAATGTGTATAACGTCATATATTCCAATGTGTTGGTTAAAGCTTTCGTTGCTTCCGTATTAAGGATATGGTTGGACACACAGTCCATCGTAATACATGAAAAAGTAACCTAAATTTAACGTTTTTTTTTATTTCTACAAAAAACATTCTTACTGAATTTGCTTTTAAACGAAATGGACATATTTTTATTAGCTGTCAAGAGCATATCTAACATTATCATATACGCACTCTGAACAGGTGACAGCCTGAGGTTCGATGGCAATAACGAAAACAGAGAGAGAGAGAGAGAGAGAGAGAGAGGGGGGGGGGGTGCTATAGCTGACTGACAGCCACGAGCCACTGCAACTACAATGTTTTCACGCCATTTCCGATAGTCGTCAGCCGAATTTGTCATGTAGAACCTGGTACTAAAATGCCATGCAAGCACTTCTATCGAAGATAGTCATTGATCGATATAGGAGCCGACGAGGTCTGGAATAGTCAGGCGAAACTAGAAGTAAAAAAAACAACGAGTCATGCTAACCTGGATCTGACTTACTTCAGGTACTATCGTCGCTGGCTGCTTCTAGCTGCCAGTCTATTCACCCACATGTCTTGTTCCACGCATTTTGGACTCACTCAGTGCACCCGAATATCAACGACGTCTATATATAGGAACGACTACTACTTTTCTTTTTTTTTTGTTTTAGAGTCAGCGACGTGCTCGATCTATCTGTATTCTCGGCACTGGCTGACGTGGTCGAGTATTTAAAACGTCTTTATCTTCTTACATATTAGTATATGCCTGATGCCGCTTCTCAATTGCTGCCTCACAGTAAGCGCGTATATATCTATATACTTGTAGCCTTCAAGTCGTTATGTTTACTAAAACAGCGACGATGACAATATTAACAAGAATAATATCGAAATTTTACTTTTCAAGGGTCTACCACCTTTGTAGCGGTTGTCGACCTGTACGGCAGTCATAATTTGGAATGGATTGAGCGGTGGAGACGGACCGCGATCTCCAGTGGAGTGATAGGAGTGTTGAAAATAAATGTTTATTCATTGTTTTTATTGTTCGTTAACGGTGATAATGGCACTTGGCAGTATTCCCAAGCAGAAGCTGAATATCTACGTTGATATTTACCGGTGAGGAGAGTAGCTAACGAAGAAAAGTTAGGTTACCGTTGTCGTTGTTGATGAGGACGAAAACAAATTTTTGGCTATCATAAACGACGGCACGAGGAAGCGTTGTTGCGTCCGCGGATTAGGATCTCTGTATGTATTTATATAGTGTAGCCGTAGATCTTTATGAACGCGCGCAATGTTATATGTCTATATGTTTAAGAAAGATAAATGATAAAATAGCCAAAAGATAGTGCAACAAAAGTTCAAATCGAAGTAGTTATTCAATACTTGCTGGGCTATTTTTCACAGAACACAGGATAGATTTGTTTTTATACTCTACAAATGATTATTTTCGTCTTTCTAGCGAAAAGGAAACCGAAACATCTAATCAGCGAGATACTTCTGTGCAGATATATATATATGTCGTACAGTTCTATCCGAAAAATCGAAAAGAACTACATGGCACATTTTCATTGAGTATTCATCCAACAACATCGACTAATTGATGCCATCAATATTCTCTGTAATCTATTTTGGGAATACTTTAAAATCCAGATGTGAAAAAGACGCGTTTTATTTCTCACTGTTACATGGTCGCTGTTAATGCAGTGGCTGATGTTGGTCTTCCTATGCAACATCAAACGGTATTTTTTTTGTGCTGAATATCCAGTTTCCCCAACTTACTTGATTTCTATAAACTTATGCGTACAGCTTGACTGTGTAGTATCACTGATATTAGTGTCTATCACTTACTAGTGATATTTTTTCGAAGAATCTTGCCACTCCAAATAACAGTTGTCCTAATCACGATTGTTCCTTATCGCCTGTTTCATTTCTTGCTCGTCGCTTTTCACTGGCTCTTCTTTCGCCTATTAGATCCTTCCCTCAACCATAAAAAATACTTGTCCACGTAATTTTCGTCTTGTCGTTCCCTAACAGTTCGAGTCACTCGCTCGTGTCGAACGCACAAGAGAACCCGCCCCATAATAAAAGCACAAAACAATGCCAGTCATCGAACACCGAAGTAAATGAAGACAGACCCTCGTTGCTTTCGTTTGTTGCGTCGTTCTACAGCGTCGTGGCTCGATCAAAAGCGATCTGACACAATTCAATACGACTCTATCATTGGAGCGCCATGGTCATTACAGAAAGGCTCCGCTCGGCGTCTCGTCTGAGCGCTAAGTAATAGAAATGCACATAGACACATGCAGACATACAGGTTCTGTGTCTCCGGCCGAGCAGTGTGACGCGTGTTTCGCGGGTATATATAGTGATATGGCATACGTATGATGATGGTGACGCGCGCTAGTAGCGTTCAGCTATACAACATTTCACAAAGTACTAGAAGCAGTTGTCGGATGGGAGCAACAGCGAGCTGTTGAAAGTCAGACGACGAAGGGTTATGGCAGTAAGTATCTAGCCAGCAGCTGTACTAGCGCTGGTTGAAGCGCCCCTGGTGAAGTTGAGGTTTGAGTTGACCTCGCGGAATTGACTGGTTGTCAGTCGTGTTCTTGCCGTCGATGCAATCGACGTCAGTTAGGTGATGGGGTCGGCTGCTGTTAGCTAGGCTTTTTTGTGCCTGTTTTCGTTTGTAAAGGTCGGAGAGATCTACGACGACGATGATGATAATGGGAAGAACACGGAGTAGACAATGGTGAAGACAACGATAAAAAAAAGCAGGGGATAGAGGCTAGTGAAAGAAGAAAAATGAAAAGAGCTACCAGAAAAACACATGTTCAAAGAAAGGCAGAAACAAAAACAGGCACTCGGTTTGGCCGAAGCCTTCAGGGTCCGGTAGGGTCCCGCTTTTTCATCGTAGTCTGTTCGTAACTGTAACTATAATAGTTGTAGTGGCAGTAGATGGGACGAGCGTACGCACGCAGTCGTACCACAACGACAGCAGGAACACATCGTCAGACTGACGCATCGCACGGCGTAGGTTAGCGGCGCAGCCCTTTGGCCACTGAGCAGCAGTTACCAATAACAACAACGGGCAGCATCGATGCCGTTTGTCTCTCGGAAGCTGCGGTAGCTGAAGGCAGAGACCTTCTTCTAGAAACATGCTTTACCAATAGGGAATAGCAACTGATGCCTTTGTTCTTTTATTTCTTGTACTAGCAATTTCATTCTGCCTGCGGGTGTAACGCCTCTATACCTCTGCTACTGCATGTCTATTTGCTAGCCAAACCACAAAGTTGCCGTTGACACCTACCGAGACAACATGCGGCGTGTGATTAACTTCGGCAGATGGGTTCTGCCAGACATCGACATTGCTGCATAACTACTTCATCTATTCCTGCCTTACTACAAACATCAGTAACAGAAATGATGACACATGTATCCTGGTGCGTATGCATGTGTGTCTCTCTATGTACTACACTTCAAACCCCCCAGTTTCAGACCATTAAACAATGTTGCGACTGCAGCGATGACGACAATGAACGTGATGAAACAATATAATCAATAACAATCTAATAGTTGACTTTGGTTAGATGTCTTTCTTTATTTTGTTATTATCTATTATTCATGAAGGTGTGGCGTCGCTTGTTTCTGGATTGGGCTAGTAATAAAAACTAGTAAAAAATATTTTGAACTGAGCCTTTCGTACGTGAGGTGGTTCGCTGATTCAGCTAATAAAACAGTTTGGCTTTTCTTGCTGAATTTCTACCGAACATACGATAAAATCTAGCTCAAGACAAGCGAATAAGGAAAAAATTCATGGATGAACTGATCAGTTTGCCTTCAGACACGGTACACAGAGAATCGTAGTTAAAATGGCGAGTCCCTTACGGTTTAGCAGTTGCTAATTTATTGGAACAATAACCTATTTTCAATAACCCTTTGGTAGGATCACTTTTTTAGCCAATTGCTTCTGCAGGGCTAAATTCACTAGATGACCACACACATGTGTGCGCCTTGACAACCGCGTGAATTTTCTGCCAGCACAACGCCTCAAAAGCCATAATACTGCTTGCGACTTACGTTAGCTTTATAGGCCGATTTTTATTTCGAAAATCGTTTTTCCACTTTCTTTTTGTATGTCTACTTTCCGTAGAGGCCATTTTTTGTTCCTTTATAATCTAACATTGTTGCTAGTAGGTCTGTGATAGAAATGCTACACATAAATACGGCTCTTCCTGAGTGGCCATGGCCTCCTCCTGAATTGCCTAGTACCGAAGCTTAGGTTAGGCATGAACACCGTTTTTCTGCTTTATTAGACCCCCCGTAATGGTGAATCTCAAAATCGTTCAGAGCACTCTGAGATCCGACAGTTTTCTCCATTGCGGCCATTCAAATGTGACGTTGTTAACGCTTTTTTGTCTCGGCTTTTTTTGCTGCTCCGCCTAAATGGTCGCATGAACATTGGAGCGTTTGGTTGATCGGTTCCTGCTTTCTTTCGTATCATTGTTTATATTATACGGTAGATGCACGCAGCCTTTGGGGGTGGTCCTGCTCCAGTGGGAGACTGTTTGAGATCCGATGTTTGCGGCTCAGGTGGCCCGCCCTACCGCAGTCAGATCTACGCCGGCGGCAGACAAGCAACCACTGGCAAACGAAGTCCGACTTCAAGCATACGTGTTCAATCGTGAATCGGATGAAAACGAAGCTCAAGGAAAGGGATTAATGTTGCCTCCCTGATTCCATACGAAACGATAAATACGCAGATTGTTGATAAAGACTACGATCTACAAGCGATTCTTACAGCAGTATATTTGTTAAGACAAAGATGACAGGCAAAGACCTTAAGAGTAAGCAGAATTATTCAATGGATTCCGCTTGTCAATGATTTTACTTGCTGCCCATGCAGCCCTCTCCGAGTTGCGATAATGGTAATCCCCGTGCCAAATAGCCATATGAAAAGTTCTATCTTAGTTCGATTATTCATAGATATTTACCAAACTGTGATCAGGTACTATCATCAAACACAGTACCGTAACATTATTGATCGTGCTCATGATACCACAGCTGAAAATTGGGGCTAAACGTTTTTTTTAGAAAGCTGGTCGGAGGCTTTACAACAGGTTCCATCTACACCACCATTCTAACTGATATCCAGATGAATGCGAACACGACCTTTGAGTGAAAGAGTAGTCAGTAGGTAAAGACGCCACTTGACCGGCTACAAGCGATTTCTATACTTCAATTCATTCATTTCGTAGCTTTTCTCTATTGGGTTCCAGAAAAACACAAATGTTCCTGCCTTTTGAGAATGTGCTACTTCTATTTTTTGCCATTACGATTATCATTACTATTTTCATTTTCGTTTTTCTCATGCATCACTCTTCGTTCATTCAAATGCTAAGTAACCATTGGATCTGCAAACTAGCCTGAATAGAACAACGTGCCAAATGAAACAAGACAAGACGACAACTATTTTACGTCATTGACACTCGCAGAGTTAAAAGCGCTGCGATATGAGGACTCCCCTCCTGCCAGATAGCTGTCACCTTTGTCATAATAAAAAAAGAATGAACCCGAAAAAAAGATATCAGAAGCTTCCTAGCAGCTGATCAGAGTCCTGGCGTCGAGAGTCCAGCATCATATAGTATACTACCGTACACTATTTTACAGCTTACGTAAATATTCGTTGAGTGAATGACTGAAGTAAAAGAGGTGTTTAAAAAATCTATTGCCGAAGCAACTGTTTGACACGCTTATCTATTTTAACGTTTTTTTGAAATAGCATAGGTACGCTGAAGTTCATCTACAATACAGTAACTTCATATTTAGGGTTGCGTTGTGTAATTCAGTTGATTCACTACTACCACTCCTGGTCTCATTGAGTCATCTCCTGCTGTTTAACGTGTCTGTCTCATGCGCTCAACTTCACTGCACGCAATTAATAAATTTATTCGGTTATGATTTATATCCATATTACATAGTAGCAGTCAGATCTCGAGAATGTCCTCTATACCCTTAACGAAAATAACATGCTAAAAAGTAGACTTATCTAGCAAATATACGCTTAAATCGCACTCATTCACTCACTAGAAATTTATCTTTGATAGCATACATCATTGTGATGATATTATTGTTATCAAAAATGGTTTTCTTGCTCTGCTTTTGCTTCCTCGTTACCATCGGAGGCCGCGGCCTGAGCCGTCCTGAGCTTCTTGGACCTTCCCTTCAGCATTGCACACTATCACCACTGCAAGTTCTATATAGGCTCTGTCTGTACCTTGAGCCTCAACGACAACTCACCGGCCAATGCGCTGGTGGCGATTCTGAAGATGACGGTTTACCCGGCCAAGTCCACTGCTGCGTGCGTGCCATCAACATCGCGGCTCGCTGAAAAAGTAGTTCAAATGGCGCTGTTTAACTGACAGAATAACCGATCCACTGCTTCGTGCTTAAACGGTCTATCGACTCTGGCGAGAATGCAACTTTCGTTTCAAGCTTTGCCGCTGCCTGTACGGCTCACAACAGATAGCCCTTTCGACAGTCACGCTATCATTACTCGAAGGTGGTGAAGCTGGCGTCGCGACTTCTGCCTAGTGCAAATCTTCTTGGATATCCTTTTTTGATATACTTGAATCACAACTACAGAACTTAAGGAGGTTTCGGCGTTGTTGAAGTCTTTAAAGCAAACACAGACATGACACAGCAGAACAAATGAGATGCGCCTTTGACAGTGAAATATCCATTATATATCTACAATGACGGCAGACAATGCGAGTTCTAGCTGTCGGGCATAACTAGATCATGGGAACGGATCTGACTTGTTGTCTAGGATGGACTGCGTATGCTGTGCTAGGTGGTTGTTTTTAAACCGCAAGGGTTTTAGGGACTGTCTCGAACGGGGTTGCTTCCATGACCAAGCCTTGCTATCATATAATTAGGTATAACTACCTAATAATCCATATCTTCGGAGAAAGTCGCAAGCAAATTCAACTTCATGAGTTAGTTCCTGCTATCGTTCCCGTATCGCAGCGATCACAATGTGCGTAAGGGGTTTGCATTTTGTTTCACTTTACTCATAAGTTGATCTCTAAAAACTTTCTACGAGGCGAGCGCAGTGAAACCATAGTGGTGCCCCCTGTTTTCGACAGGTATTCTTTATGATCGCCTAGCAATCTTAGGCACTATTACTCGATAGAGTAGGGTCTGCAGTCGATATTTTTCTTCATGCGAGAATCGATCGACAAAGTTCGACTGCACCAATCATCGGGCAGTTTGCAGACGATCAGTCAGCAACAGCGGAATACATACGTATATAAACTTTATTAAATATGTATATAAGGTAAAGGCCCCATCATTAGCGCAAAAAGGAAGGAGAGCGGAGCTCTGCCGTCTCGGCTTGTCACAACATCGCCTATTGTTTGCTATGCTTGTTATTATACTATTGTGATAGCAATAATAATGCTAATCGTTATTATGATATATTAATATGACGTAGTTGGCCTGTGCACCGCAGACAAGAATACTGTTACAGGCTTTCATTGTGTATTTGTGTGTGTGTGTATATATATATATATATAAATTAGATTTTTATACGTGGTTTAATAATTGTACACCCGTTTTGTTGAATCGTTTAAGATTGAATGATATTTTTTTCATAAAATTGCTCGCAGTTATTCTGGATCGACATATATATATATATATATAAATCTAAACGTCGTAGGCGTTGAGGAACATCATGGGTGCAAGTCCGATCAAGATCATTTTAGTCACGTACGAAGATGGTCCTTGAAGCCAGTATAGCATTCCGGTTCTACTAACGAAATAATAAACACAACTTTATAATGAGCTACATTTTGCCTACGCCAATACTAGATACATTATGTGCAAAAGAAAATAAAGTCGGCTGCGTTTTGAGGTCCATTTGAGAATTTGGCATAAAGGAGAAAAACGAGTCCAGGTTCCAATATTCTTTAACTAGGTGGAAGGGGGTTCTCATAATTAGAGGGGACGATTTTCGTGGAGCTGGATTGGTTCATCTTGCTATAATTAGATCAAATGATTGAGTTATGTTTACCAAATACGTAGAGCACGAATTCGTAAATATTGGTGGTTAAGTGACTGTGCCGGTAGCATGGTTCTTTCATCTAGCTTACCAACTAAATTTTCACTAACGGCTCCGATAGAAGTGCTTACCCATCAGCACACCGCAACTGATCGTGTACAGAAACGAACATACAGAAAAGCCTACAGCTTCTGTTATTACAATCGCTTAATACCAAAGTATCGGTAGCAATTCAGTAGAGAGCTCCGTCGTCACGTCAGACTCACGAGCAAACCGAAATGTTACTACCTATAGGAAGTATTCATGAACGGCAACAAATACATTTATTATCTATTTTCTATTCTATTCTTTTACTAGTTTTGTCGTCTCGCTGAAATCTACACGCACTGTTCTCATTTGTAGTTGGCGAGCATAAGCACACTGCATAGGCTTATGGACTGAAAGTGATAGAAATGACCTCTGTCCCTACAGAAGAATTTATCCGCATCAAATTTAGGTAGAGATGAGATTTCATGTTGACACCAGTTCCGTTGCAACTATTTAGAACGAGTACGACAAAAATGCCCCTCGTAATGGGGTGCGCATTCGTCAATTGTATGATCTTGAACGTCCAAACTTTGAGATGTCATTTTCATACGCTTCGCCCCCTCAGTATACATGTACAGTTCGATCGAAATAGCGTTTCATTATAGCAACGATAATTTACTTTGTTTTTGCACGATGTAATCAGACAACGCAGGACAGACTTGTGGATATTCTTCGGCGCACTTATATGTAAACCATCAGGATGATCTGCAGCTTGTACATCTATTTGCCATTTGCAGTGTTAAACACTGTTTAAGTGAGATCACTTACTGCCTGTCCCTTTTATCGATTCAGGCGCCTACGCAGCGAGCAATTTTCGTCAACCTCAAATGTAAAAGAAGCCAAAGAAAAAGATGACAATTTTTTGCTGTGTCACTTGTCCGCTACTGGCCTCCAGCCGATCTCTCGCGTTTGCGGGTCTCGGCCGCTTCCAGAATCTCTAGGCAGCTTTCAAGCCTGTCAATGATCTCTTAAAACTTACATAAACCTTGTTCATGGAAATCTGATCAGACAAACGACAATCTTTTAGCGAGACTTACCGCATCCAAAATACCCCGTAACGGTAAATATTATGCTCAATTACTGCTCGATAGCGTCAACTGCTACTATGGGTCAGCTTCGGTATAGGTTCGCATGCTTTTGTTGGTTTCAGATCTCACTGTTGTTTATTGTCGTCATGTAGGCTCGTTGCCTCTGTGCCTGATTATCGAAGCCGCAAAGACGGAGTAAAGAGAAAAGATTCCTATTTATGTTCCTTTGATTTTATCCTAATTCCACAGTGTCCATTTCACGGTGATCACCTGCTTAAAGCGAAGCGAACTTAAAGGCTTTTTGATCAGACCTATTTTTTCTTCAGTGATCAGCGTTCGGTCTCTGTCGTGTGGCTACGAAGCGAGTTGTGCTACATCCGGGCTGACACCTGGCTTCGGCGACGGAAGAGTTCCGTTAAATTTCAATTTGATTTACAAACTATTGAATTAGACAACCGAAATTGGCCAGACACAGACGGCAGAACTGTATTTATACGATGACTGAATGAAGAGAAAAGCGGCATAATTAGACAAACCAATTTTAGTCCTGTAATCGCTCTATGGTGCCTTAAATGCCACTTACTTAGTGACCCGTTGATATTCTGTAGAAGCAATAAGCAGATGGTAAATTTGAATTGATTTCGACGTATCTCATAACATGTACTGTGTTTTTCAGTACACGCAGCGGCAAATCGATCAACAGATGTACATTTTTCCGTGTTGTAAGAACTATGGAAAATGCATTTTTTTTTTTTTTTTTTTTTTAGGAGAATCGAATTTTTGGTGTCTATTAGAAATACGGTTCTTACTGACGCTTGCGATGTTACACGTGTTTATACTATTGAACTTGCATCCACTAACACATGAAAACCTGGGCCATATAAAGTATTGCACCGTTGGTATATTTTTACATTTCAGCGCAATGTTCGTGATGACTTTTCCTAGTCGTAGCGTTGTAAAGCGGTCCTGTGGCTTGGCTGCCTAGCGAAAACAAAGTCGATAAAAAAAAAAAAAGGAAAGACCAAGCCGAAGGAAAAAGCAGCACATGATCATCAGCATCGTCCTGTGAGGACTTGTGAGGCAACGCGGTGGCACTCCTTTGAGCTGCACCTGGCTCTCGCTGCAGGCACCGCGACCACTACTATGAACCTCGTCAATGTACGACTGTATTTCTTCATCGTATGGGTTCTTCCGCACCCATAGCAACTTTGCATTCATTGGATGGGTTGAATTTTTTCGACTATTTCTGCCGTTGGAAGACGTCGCTTTGACGCTTCTGCCCACACATCGTCCTTCTAAACGGTCACGATGACAACTGATGACCGCGCATGGCAAATAAGTTATGTACTCGCCTCCTCAGTGTTCTATACCTTTTCCTATTCTCTACTTAAGGGCGCTATTCACACGTGCCAAAGCACTCTGAGTATTTAAGAGACGGGTACCACTATTACGTTTTTGTTTAACGGGCAAATTCGTTAGTCGACCAAGTACGACCAACCGACGGGAAGTCATCTGAAACACTAATATTACACTATTGCTTCCTCTCTGGATTTATGTACGGACCGTGCCCATCAATGAGCCCGGCCTATAACGGTGTGGCCAAACGCTTCGCTGAAACCTACCTAGTCCCACCAGCTCTGCCGATACGCATAGACGGTGTAACATTTAAAACTGGCGGGTCACTGGCGAGTGGGGCCACAGCTATTTGAACGAACCACTGCTCGACTGACTATGCACGTTTTCCAAGCTCCCGCTAGTCGCCGTTACTACCGAGCCACTTCCTTTCCTGCTATCTATATCTCATACACAGGCAACATAGAGCACATTGGTGACTTTAACAGTAACGCCCGTTTCAACGCGTTATCGGTTCACCAGCTTCGAAGAGTGGTGGTGACGCCCGGGGTGATGACCTCACATATCGCCATCGTGGTTGGACTGTCCCGAAGAGATGCACATACCAAACACGTTCACTCTTGGAACCGTACGAGGGTAGGCGGAATGAACGAAATCGCCCTTCCTTCCTCCCCTTTAGTGCTAGGCTTAGTAAATACTGTCGTAGCAGACGATAACGACACGCTGACACCATCATGTTCACTGTGTATGGCTAATAGCCCCAGCCTGATCAACTCGTCTGTAATGGCTCGCATCCGCTAAGAGGATCGGTTCCATGCTAAAAATCAAAAGCTAATTTTATATTAAACATAGAAAGC